CTCATCGTGCCGATCTTCCAAGACGTTCGCTCATTTAAATTCGCGGCCTCCGTCTGCAGCTCCGCCTCGCGAATCCTGTTGTGCTTATCACGCTCAGCAGCCTTCGCGGCGAGCCACTCGTCTTTCTGGCGACGGGCGATGGAAACCTCCCGATTTGCGCGTCTTGCCGCTTCAAACTGATTTGCGGCGACAAGACCAACATGGGCCGTGTACCCTTCCTTCCACTCGTGGAACGCCTGGTCGAGGAGGAAGGGGGTAGCACCTTCGGGAGCCTTGTAGGGGGGATACGGGGCGGGGTCGACGATGGGAGGAAGGGTTGCGAGCTCGGAGAAATCGGGCGGCGGCATACCCGACGGAGGCCATTCGAACGGAGGACGAACGAAGACGGGAATCGGTCTCCAGCTGGGATCGGAGATCTCCTCCAGACGCGGGACCACGTACGCTAACTTCCCCTCGACGTTGCGGAGCTGTTTCTCCAGCCCATCCACCGAATGCTCCATAGGGGCGGGAGCCTCGCCCTGGAATACCATCCTGCGACGGAGCAGTTGCTCGCGCAATGACGGCGGCGGCGGAGGAGACGACGATGGCGGAAGAACGGACGACGACGGGACGGGCGCATCTTCAGCCATTGGCGAGGGAGGACGCGCAACTCCGCTCGCGGGACGCGACGGTCCAGCTACAGGCTTGCGGGAAGATGTACTCCCCGGAAGCCTGATCTTGAAGCTGGTTCCGGTATCTGGCGGAGGGAGACGCGGAGTCAAGACCTCTGAGCGCGGAGGATGACGTGAAGTCAACTCCTCTGTATTTCGGGGCCGACGTGAAGTCAGGCCCGTCGCGCTCTTGGAACGACGTGGAGTCTGTTCCGCTAACTCGTCGACCTCCTCGGAGGAGGACTCATCTCCTCTTTCCCGTATTTCTGGAGGCGCGCGCGCCGCTCGCCTTGGATTTTCTTTCCGCGACCCCCTCGAGGAACGACGGCGGGGTGGCTTCACGATCGGAGATAGGCCGCAGAGCCTGCGCAGTAGAAACTGCGGGCTGTGGGCGTTGGGTTTGGGCGCGGTTCTTGCGGCTGGTGGACATGGGCGACGGTGGCGAAAGCGGAGGAGACTGGAAACTTTTGCCAATTAGAAGCGCATCACGGGCCAAACAGCACCATACAACCGATCAAAATACGTCAAGGAACTGCGCATCATTCTTCTAGCGAAACGCGGAGGAATTCCCTAAATATAGCTTCAATTCACTCGCAAAACCTTAATCTGAAAGAACCTGCAAGCACAACGGAGAAGGAGTAGAGTGCAGAGGAGTGTAAAGGAGTGAACTCGACGCAGGAGAAATTTGGGAGTTTTACGCCCGGCCGTAACCAAGATATTCGCTGGCGGAGACGAACTCCGCTTAATATGACCGGGCATCAGAAATCAGGAAAATATTCAAGGAGCAAGAAAACGACGCGTTTTACGCGTTTAAAATTCACAACAAATGGATTACACTAAAGAAGAACCCGACGGAAACGACTCCGCCGGGTTATCAGGCGTTTTGGTACCGCGGAGGAACCAAAATTGCAATTTATATATGGACAACGGAACACCAAACGCGCACGCTTAAGCCAACGGAACATACGGAATTCAGGATATATGCGAATGTAATCTCCGGAGAAAAGTCGCTGAGCGACGAAGTGGGGCCCTACAAAAACCAAAGAAATACCCCGAAAAGGAATTGATCACTCCTGGGCGACAACGGAATAACAAAAATGGACAGCTACAAGGAACGAATTTCAAGAAAACGACACGAACGCAAGACACGAACTTACGAGAAACGGCTTTGCGGACTTGAAAATCGATAAAAGTTACCGGGAGGAAACCCCAACCTGGTGAACAATTCGTTGTATTCGGCGGATACGTCGTCCAAGGGCGGTTCCAGGAGAAAACGGACCTGGCGGGGAGTCAGCTCCTAAAAGTAAGAAGGACACGGCACGGAACGAGCGAAACGGAAAGAGGGAGAGCGGAGGACGAAACCACGACGGGAACGGAGAAAATCAAAATCAGAAAAGTAAAAGGACTCGGAGCGGTGCCGCACCGAAATAGCCAAACATTCCAAGAGGCACAAAATTAAGATGCCGCCCGGAAATAGAGCCCAAGCAGGAGTTGAACCTGCGACCTTCGCATTAATTCATCCACGCAGAACTAGGAATGCGCGATGCAATAACCGTTATGCTATTGGGCCGACAACCTTGGAAAGGAAGGCGAGCGGACACCGCGAAATGGAAAACAAAACGGAGCGGCATAGGACATCAAAAATTACGGCTGTCCTGGAGTAAAGCCCAAGCAGGAGTCGAACCTGCGACCTTCGCATTAATTCATCCACGCAGAGCTAGGAATGCGCGATGCATAACCGTTATGCTATTGGGCCGACAACCTTGGAAAGAAGGCGGAGCGGACACCGCGAAATGGAAAACAAAACGGAGCGCATAGGACATCAAAATTACGGCCGTCCTGAGTAAAGCCCAAGCAGGAGTGAACCTGCGACCTTCGTAATCATCCCGGAGCTGGATGCGCGATGCATAACCGTTATGCTATTGGGCCGACGACCATTTAAAAATTATGATCGCCATGCAACAAAAGCCCAAGCAGGAGTCGAACCTGCGACTTTCGCGTTATTTATCCTGATTCGAATAAGGATGCGCGGAGCAATAACCGCTATGCCATTGGGCCGATAACCCAGGCATTGGATCCCAAAAACGGGAGACATGAGCGGAACGGACGATGCAATGGAGGCGGAGACTTGATTCCCAAAAAGTAAAAAGGACATGCAACACACCGGTAATCGCCATGGGAAGAGTCAACACCCTCAAATTGCCAGGAAGGAGCGTAACTGGGGGTCCAAACAGGCTGTTCAGGGAAAGCGGAGATGTGAGGAGGTCCGGATAAATCAAGCGACCGTCGACATCGTATCCTGCGAATTCCCCTTCGCAGCGGGTATAAGCTATGGTCTGCCTGGCTGCCTTGAGGAGCAGAATGAGTATCTTGGGGTTCAGGCTGTGGGGGAGATCGTATCTGGAGGTGTATTTCGTGAACCAGCAAAGGTAAGCGAGGAGCTGGAACATTTGGAAGGATTCGCCAGGGATGGTCAGGTCGACCAGGGCCCACGAAATATCGCCAGCCTGCGCCAACTCATGACGAACAGCTAAACTCCGGGTAACGAGACACTGCGGAAAACAATTGGGATCGGACTGGGCGGAGTACCTCCAAAACAAGACTACGCACCAAATGCCACATTACGACTTGGATCCAATCGCAGATCTTGTTATGCTCAGCAATAGGTAGCGACGGAATTCCAGCCTTCACGGAGAAGTTGTCGGTGGTGGCGCGCATAATTTCGTGCACCATTAGGCGAATACGGAACTGAAGAAAGCTCGGAAGACCTTCTCCAAAAAGGTGGAAAGGAGCGGTCAGGAATTGCTTGTCTAAGCATAGACTGAACAAGAGCGGCGCGGCGTCGTAAATGGTGAATCGCCGAGTGGAAGACATGGAGAGTTCGCTTGGGAGGACACAAAACAGGCAACCTCGCTAGGCTCTTTTTATAAGGAAACGCCCCCTTTGGACAAGCAACCTGGAAGGAGCTACGAATTATCGCATAAAAATTTCCCATCTACATGGATCTACAACAGCATGTATAGGAACAGACGAGGATCACCCGCGGACGCAATTCTTGATTCCCGACGGAGTCAGGCGGAAGAAGATTCTCTCCAATTAAGGAGCGGAGTCGGAGTTCGGCGTATTGGGACGAGTAGGAATAATCCGCTGCGACTCTGGACATTTAGGAAATTGGTATGCCTCCTCTCCGAGGGAGGGATCGTAGCGAAGGAGCCCCTGGCCGAATTGGTGGCGGAGTCGACCTAGAGCCTTGGCTTCGGAAACCTGGTCCGGCTTCGTGTGGTGACCTATCCCATACACAAAAGGGTCGGCGGAGTTGTGCGTGAAACCTGGCGCGTCCCACGGCTGAGTGGCGTACTCCGCACCAATCGCCATGCAATACTGGAGATGGGCAATAGCTCCGAACATGTTCTCTCGGAGAGCGCGATCTTCATCTCCGTCGAAACCGACGAGCGCAACAAAACTCTCCGCCATGGCAAAAGTCACGGTGCAGAAGTGCGGGATATGGTATTGCGCGGGCAGCGCAGGATCCAGGGACTTCGCTACCTTTACGGAGCCAAGAAGTAGCTCAAAAAGGGATAGGATCAGCAAAAGGCTTCGCTAAAGAAACGCCAGCATGGTTCACCATATTGGAAAGCATGACTTTTACGCCGACACGAGCTTGCTGGATGATCTCCGGCGGAATGGAACTTATATTCCGATCCTGGAAGGTCTCGTGAAGAGCCTGGCCTAGACACCGCACATGGGTGATCCACAGCGACTCAAGGTACTTCGGCATGCGCGTGTCGGAAACGGCGGGCAATATAGAATGGACCTCCACCAATAGGCTTGGGAGTACAGGATGGCCGACAGCTCAAATTAAGCAGGGGAACCACTGCAGGCCATATTTTGAAATCGCGGTAAGGACTATCAAGATGACTGAATTTTGGTCAACTGAAATCCGCACAATCGAGTTGAGTGTGTCGAAATCCAATCAGGTTCGGCACACTCGGCCTGATTGATAAAATCACGTTTTGATTGAGTTGTCAATCAGGCTGAGCCTGATTGTACAGTGTCGCATGGCGGAGGGCGAGAGCAGCGAGGTTAGGTGGACGCATAGGTGTGGCCGGACATGGCTGGTGACGGCTTCTAGAATCCACTTGGTGTCCAGTCTCGCGATCGGACCTGCAGAATATCGCCTACATCCAAGACAGGGTTACAAGCAATGCCAGTTTGCACTGCCACCGGCATGCCGATTTGGGTGAGAGTGAGATCAGTGGCAGTGAGCCTTTCTCCTTCACACCGAACACCCACCCCGCTGGCAGTGGGTGGAATCGGGAAGCCTCCATTGAGTGACTACCGCAGGCCCTCGTCATTTCGATTTGTTCATCCTTTTACTTTGGAGGCTCTTAGATCAAACTTAACAGTTGCGTACCGTTTCGCATAAGTATTCAATGCCCATTCATGATGATTACAGCTCTTTGCGGTACAACAGGCGCAGTCCGTTTTTTTCTGTTTTGGCAAGTTTTCACGAGAACAGCTGCCCTGAGCTCAATTCTCAACCGTTTCCCCTCAAAATAGGCTCATTCGATTCGCATTGAAAATCCACAGCGAATAGAACACCGGTATTTTTGATCCTCTTACGTCATAGAATTTCTTCCGGAAAAACTTGGTTTTGAGTAGGACACCTGTAGCACTCGGAATACTGCCCTGATTGGCCTAATCTTTGGATATGCTATACATCCGATGTGACCCTAGCCAATGTGGGTGTTTATGGAGCTTAATGTACTCAATCTTCCATGGACAGCTCTACTTATGGTCGTGTCTGGATATCTACTTCGCTAAAGTGTGCATTAGATCACAATCACTCAGCATGTAATATAAATAAACACGCCATTGTCTAGGGCCCCATTATATGTATAGCATATCCAAAAACTAGGCCATTTGGGGCAGCACTCTGAGTGCTACAGGTGTCCTACTCAAAACCAAGTTTTTCCGGAAGAAATTCTATGACGTAAGAGGATCAAAAATACCGGTGTTCTATTCGCTGTGGATTTTCAATGCGAATCGAATGAGCCTATTTTGAGGGGAAACGGTTGAGAATTGAGCTCAGGGCAGCTGTTCTCGTGAAAACTTGCCAAAACAGAAAAAAACGGACCGCGCCTGTTGTACCGCAAAGAGCTGTAAATACGCTCGGTAGACTCATAGCATCGGTCATGCTCAGCTCCTTTGGAGATCGTACTCGCCTCGCAGAGATCGAAGCCCAAATCCGGGATCTCGAGCTCTCGCTTGCCGAATTGCCAGCGGAGAAAACCCTTGTGCAGGAGCAGCTCAGATTCTCCACGTACCCGGTCTTGACATTACCGAACGAGATCGTATCCGAGATTTTCATCCATTTCCTCCCCCTCTGCCCCCTCTGCCCACCACTTACGGGCCTTCTTTCGCCAACCACTCTGACGCAAATTTGTCGCCAGTGGCGCGAAGTTGCGCAAGCCACCCCGGAGCTCTGGAGGGCTATACCGTTCGCCAACAATCGCATTCCTCTGGAAGAACAACTCCATATATGCGACATCTGGCTGAGCAGGTCCCGAGGCTATCCTCTTTCTATCCGTATCAATCGACCTCTCAGCGGCTCGGACAGTCTCCAAAAAATCCTTTCGGCAGTTGCCCCTCATCAGACCCGCTGGGAGCACCTTACACTTCTTATGAATGAGTCCATGCTGGGCCCTAGCCTCGATGGCCCGGTGCCTTTACTTCGCCTTCTAGACGTGGAGGTTTCCCACCGCCACTCTTTTGCATCCTATCAGGTGCTACTGCTGCGTACAGTTTGCCTCACTGGTGCTGCTGTTCCGCAGGTCGGATTACCGTGGTTGCAGTTGACTTCCTTAACTTTGCGCTACGTATACCCAAGAATGTGTACCCCGGTTCTGCAGAAGACAACGAACCTGGTTCATTGCAGGCTGTATGTCTCAGGTACTGGCCGTAATCAGCCCGATATCGTTCTTCCGTCATTGGAATCATTGACTTTCGTTCAACATGGCTACGCGCCAGTGACCGAATATCTCACCACCTTTATCGTCCCTGCTCTCCGCAGTCTCGACATCCCGGAACAATCCCTGGCTCCGAACCCCATTGGTTCGTTACAATCGTTTATATCAAAATCTGGCTGCAGGTTATAGGAGATATACATCACTGGTGAAAGGATAATATCCGAGGACACCTACCGCGAGACATTTCCCTCGATTTCGAAGTTCTCTTTCTCAGAACGATTATGACCCTTCGGATGTCGAGGGCAATCCCGATCCCACACAGTATCATCGACGTGCGTGTCAGTCCCTTCTCGTTCCACCACGACTCACCTCTTAGACAGCAAACAAGGGTTCGCGGTCTTGGCTGGCAAAAAATATCCTTCATCGTTTCCTTCATTTTGCACATGCCTTGGCATTTGTTCAACCTCGCGTTTCAACATGAGGCTGGTCGTTGGACACCGACTTTTTCGTTTTATGTCGGGCCTTCTTTGTGTCCAGTTCATACTCTCAGATACGGAGGGAATTCCCTAATGCGGGAAGGGTTGTGAAGACAGCGGATAGA